TTCCTGTCAGGTAAAGCAGCAATATTTGAATTTATTTAGGATTATTTTTAGTGAAATGGCAGCTATAATGCCAGGAACAACTGCTTCTTGTACACTTTTAGAGGTGCACTATAGTGGATCTAAGCAATCTGATGGCCTGGATGGATGTTTTGCCAGGGCTCTGTTTGCTTAAAACTTTTAAGTGTTTTGGAGCAGGCTGGATTAACAGGAGAATTAGAAATACAAAGCATGTTAAAATCTGGGTGACTGGACTTTCTCATGAGCAGCCTTGCCAAAAAACTGTACAGCTCCCAGGACTAAAAAGCACATATTTCATGTTCACTTCTATGCTTTATTGTTATATATTTGTACCCGCCTTTTCTTTTTGCAAATAATGAGCATGAGGAACATGCAGAGTGTTTTTTCCCAGGCGGTTTAGACCTAACATTTGCAGAAAGGAAAGATTCTACAGTTTTGTGGTATGGGAAGTTGGATTTTGGAGGAAGGTTTGTTAGTGATAGGGGGAATAGGTTAAGCAGATTTTTATTTATTTATTTATTTAAACAGGTTTTGTCTGTTGTATATAAATATATGGGACTACAAGTTTGCCCTGTAGTCAGAACACATGGTAAATATGGAGACTAGCTGCATTCCTAAATTGTGAATTTTTAAGACTCTTTACGTAGTAAATATACTTTATGGCATAGTTTGTGATGCCTGTGTAATACTAGTCCAAACCTTGTCTACTCTTGTAGTCTTTGTAATTCCTATCCGTTTTGTAAGTGCTAGATCAATTCACATTGAGATGGCTTGTTACCTCACATACTTCTGTGCCCAACTTGTATTGCTAGTAGCAAGCCAGATATGTCACACTTTCTTTGGGAGTAGGATTAGTTATTTTTGTTTAAATTAAGTGTGAATTAAAGCATTGGTGAAAAGTGCCAGATTGACAACTCTTGAAGATGAGCTCCTGGATCTCTGTGGAACAGGGAACAGAATTGCTTTGCTTTACTGGTGTACCTTTGCCCTGACCTTGGACACATCACTGCTAATCATTGGGCAAGTTTGATCTCCAAGTTGATTTTGAACCTGTCTTCTGCTTTGAATCTGATGGCACACTGCAAGATGAATTTGCTTGAAATGAAATCTCCTCACTGGCAGCTGGACTAAGACTACAAAAAATTTGTTCACTTTGTCCATCAAATAGTCTTCAGTATCAACTTAGGGCAGTTTAGCTTGCTGCAGTTCTCCTGCTTCCTGCCTTCCCTTCCAGCTCAATTTTAACTGGATCATATCCCTGAACTGCTTAACCATGGGATTGCACGAGAGTCAGTATGTAGCTGAAGGGAGGAGGAGGTGAGGTCAAACAGTAAAAGCAAAGAACAGGAATATAAGAATGTGGCAGTCTAGATTCAGATTGGCTTAATTATTATGACACTGTAACATTGCAAATTACTGGTCTGAGCTTGGTTTAAACTAATAATTTAGGGTGAAGATGTCTACCATTGAAGCCCTATTATGGCCAAAGGCACCCAGCTTAGCTGTGTCATTCTAAAATGAGTTAAAATAACATATCCAAACAAAGCTTTACAGATTCATACAGAAAAAATTATTTCTTCCAGCCTTTTCATTCTATATTGAAACTCATACCATACTGAATTATGAAAAAGACCCTTGAATTATTTTGTATGTGTGACGTGGTTATATTGACCGTATTGCATTAATCTTGCCTGTTGTAGATCCATTATGTTTTCAAAAAGTTGGGTCCCTCTGTGTCTGCTTTTTGGCTTTTTTTTCCTTTTTAAAAATCTCACCCTGAATGAGTTTTGTAAATATTCAGTCTTGACTTCAGCTTGCATTGCGGTGTCATCAATTATGACAGACTGCTGCCTCTTCTCTCCACTCTTCATCTTTTCCCTGTCAAAATGCACCCTTTGGCAGAATATTTTTCAAGGGCTAAATGTGAGTCTAAGGGAGTCACTGTCAAGGTATTTTTCATAATTTCAGAAATATTTTTCTCTTCCTCTTGTTTATAATTACCTCTTTGAAACTTCAAATTGAAATGTTTCTTTACTGTTTTTTCATCGCATGTGCACTGTAGTGAGATGGCAGGGCAGATTTGAAGGTTATTAATGTATTTTTTACCCTTTGGGGTTGGGGGAGAAGAAGGGAAGAGACATATGGCATAGTATATATAATGTATTCCCCCTTCAGACCCTCACCTCAATAAATACCAAAGATTTTATATGAGTACCAAAAACTGGTCCGATACCCCTTTCGTGGGAGGACTTTTCCTCCCTTCCTCCTATGTGTTAAAAGGCCAGCTGCTCATGGTCCTTGCATCCCATAGGAGATGAATAATGAAACCCTAAGGCCACAGCAACTGTTTGCAGTCTGGAAAGAGCCACAACTGAATACCTAGGGAAGATAGGGACTTTCTTTGTCCCTCTTCTCTGCTGTTCTGATAACTGGGGATTTGTTTAGATCCCAAGGTATCTAAAAAGTTTGTAAGGTAGCCAAGCAAGTTTTGCTTACCAAGAAGCCTATCAGATATTTTCATTTTATTTTTTTATCTCCTTAGTAAATATTGAGATAGCTTCATTTGCACAGTCTCTGAAGCATTAAACACGACACTCATTGTAATTCTGAATTTAATTGGAATCTAAGAATTTGGTAACATTTGGTAAACATGAAAACCTATACCCAAGATACATTATATTGAGCGTAGAAATAGCTGTGCTGTTTCTAAAGGCTACTCTGATGGAAGAGAACAGTGTAAATATGTTTTTGTATGGCTTACACAGCTGCCTAGTTTGGCTGAGGGTTCCATGTGATCCGTTTTGCTTGTGTGTGCTAAGAGCTGAAGTATGGTATTCTCTTAACTCGTGTTGGTTTTGCAGGGATTGCCTGACATTTTAAGGCAATGTTGACCATGCGCTAAGAAGGTGAGGAGACTAGAACCATTCCATTAGGTGATTCAGAGACTGTTGATTTTGCTTTCTTCATTTAGCATTTTGAATCTGTAACAAATTATTTGAAAGTCTTGTGTTTGTGAAAAACCTTTTTTCAGCATTTCCATGGCTGAAAGGCTAATCCAATCTCCTGCTTCTAAGACTGTTGGTTATTGAGCATTCATAGAGGAGGAGTATGGCCTGCTGGTTAAAACAGGGAACTACTAGGATACTGAAAAGTGCAATTCCTGGCCCTGCCATATAATTTCCATATGACCTTGGGCAAGATATGTTAGATAAAACTTACTTCACAGGGGCATAATATAGCTGAATTGATGAGATTGTAGTGCTTTTAGATCCTCTTGAGGAAAGTTACACAAAAAGAAATTACTACCATAGTAGAATAGTTGTGAAAGTAAAGTAGAAGAGCTGGCATGATTAGGAGACAATTTATTGACTTTCCTTTCCAGCTATTTAAAAACTTTTCTAACTTAGTTCAGGTTAGAAAAGTTGGTGCACTGTCAGTTTGTTTCTGTCCTTGATATACACGTGCAACTCCCATTAGTGCCAGCAGGAGCCCTGTGCTTGCATCGCGAGAGGAGAATAGACCCCTGTGCGTGTAATGATAAGTTAGATAGCCTCTTGTGGCTCTGTGTATGATTTCTGATCTATTGTTCCAGAGATACTACAGCATGAGAGAGAGCTGCTGTCATTTTCAATAGGAAGTGAGAACTTTAAGAGCTTGAGAACTGTCCTCTTTTTTGAATAGCACTTTTGCTGCATGAAGTGTAATTTATTTTTATCACAGCAGGCATAAAGCTTCCAGGTTTTCATAAAGAAAAATGATCCATATAGCGCCCATGTCGATTGAACGATCATTTGAAAACCTGTAAATTCAAAACACAGCCCTTTCTCAATGCAAAGTATAGTTCCTTTTTGCTGCAGCTTTTAATTTTTTTAATCTTGGACTTTCATTAGTACTTCAGACATACTATAAAACAGTGTTTTCATCTCAGTAATTATTTTTCCAGCCATCAGTTTGCCTGTAGCAGGACACATTGTTTAATTATAGTAACAAAAACTTCTTCAGACAAGACTTTCTGTGCTTTCAAAATCTTTCAAGGTGGTACTTCGTAAACTTTCTATTTTTTTAAGTAACAAATGTGAGTTAGTCATTAAAATTTGGGAAGAAAGGGGAAAGGAGAGGAAAGGGTGGGAGAAGGGGGGAAGAGAAAGAAATTGTTTGTATCTTGCCTGATACACAAACACACAAAAAGAAAAGAAAACAAAGCGAGACCTATTATTAGTCCTACAATTTGACAGAACGGTTGCCTCTCTCTCTTCTGAGAAAACACTACATCTTTAAATTATGTCCATTCTTAAATGTAGAAAACCCTGCATTGTGTCTGTTAGTCCATAATTGGACTGTCTTTTAATACAAGCAGAGGCACTTGTTTCTGAATATAAACCCTGCACCTCAACAGGTCAGGGAGATAGTAAAAACCTGTTGTTTGGCTTTGTCTTGGGGAATAATGGAGTCACTAATCTACTTGATCTCTGGGAGTCAGATAAAGAAGAAAGTGAACGATGCATACATTTCAAAGATGGAAGGCACTTGTAAAAGCAATTTCTTTGGAGGGAAAAAGTGGAGCAAAGGCTGTTGGAAACCTTTTAATTAGTACTAATTACCTCAGCAGAAAACGTTGGAGGCTTGAAAGGATTTGTGTCAGCAAGTGAAAGATCAAAGATTGCGGCACTCGCATTTTAATCTGTTGGCTATAAAAACGAATAAGGGGGTGGTAATGGGGCCCATGAGAATGACAACCCAGGTGGTGGAGGCCTTAATCCCTTCTTTACTGCTAGCGCCTGAGGCCTAGTTCCAATTACATAATAAGATGATTTAATTTTTGCTTTAATTTTAACAAAAATTAAGTTTATTTTAGCCTTCAGTAAGGACGTGACAAGGCTTCCAGACAAAATCCTGTCAATATATTTCTTTTAATGTTTTAAGTCCAAGCCTTTATTTAGCCATTTTTTTCCTAAGCGGCTGAAGTTGCTCTATAAAAGGCCATGAGGCGGCAAAGGTGCTTTGATGTGGTCTCTGGAAATGGGGAGGGGCGACTGGTGGCCACTGTGGCGGCGCTTGGAAATCCGGTAATGCCATGAGTGAGCCTTCTTTCTTTTATTTATTTATTTGTTTGGGGTTTTGGTGTTGTGGGTTTTTTTTTTTTTTTTTTTTTAAACAAACTGCCTAATTGCGTCAGCAAGGAATAGTTCATAGGCATGCTTGCTGTGATACTTCACTTCTCTGTTTTCTTTCAAAACACTGGACGGGTTCACGTGATCATGTGTGAGGTAAATTACATCTTTATTTTTGTGGCTTGAGCAGATTATATGCCCCTCAAAAACCTAATTGTCATCAAATTCCTCTATGGACAAAAGAGCGAGCATATGGCTTAGGCTGAAGATAGGCTGATGGCTGCAATGTAGACTTCAAATGGATAAATTTATATCCGGGAATCTCCAGCACTTCCACACAGCCAGGCCCAGCCGTTGTGTCGAAGGGGGAGGTAGATGCATCTTGAAGTAGCATTGGGTTTACAATTCAGCTCATGCAGTCAAGTGTTATCTGTACTCAGTGAAGTGGTAGGGTTTGAGTTTTTTATTAATTTGACTTGTACAAAAGGTTTTATTATTTACGTTCTGAGGATTCAAGCGTAGTAAGTTGCAGCTGCTCATGTATTTGTTTTTGTAGGTAAAAACCTAAAAATCTGGAGGCAGTGGCAACACAAATAATCAGGCCTTTATTCTGGGTTACACCTTTAAATTTCTTATTCAATGTTTATTCAGCAACTAAAGCTTGAAATAAACTTTGAACTACATACTTTATTGAGTTTTATATTGAATTTTTATATTCAAAATATGTTAAATGTGTATATGAGTTAGATAATTGTTTGACAGCGTATATAATAGCACATCCTCATTCTGCTTGTAATTCAGCCTTCAACCTCAGGTCCTTAGGGTGTTTGATTTTATTCTGATGTGATAGAAAACAGTGTTGATTTTTAAATAATGTTGTTTTGACTAAAGTCTTGTGGTACCTCCATAGGCTCTGTATGTATTGGCATGACAGTAAAATATGAAAAAAACCCAGATATCAAAGTTCAGTGTTGTCTTCCTTTTGCTTGCCTTTTCCTAATCTGTGGAGTATCTTTTGTCTTCAAGAATGGTTCAAAGCTGCGCCAGGGGAGGTTTAGACTGGACATTAGGAAGCATTTCTTTACTGAGAGGGTGGTCAAACACTGGAACAGGCTTCCTAGAGAGGTGGTCGATGCCCCAAGTCTGTCAGTGTTTAAGAGGCATTTGGACAATGCCCTAATAACATACTTCAACTTTTGGTCAGCCCTGAATTGGTCAGGCAGTTGGACTAGATGATAGTTGTAGGTCCCTTCCAACTGAACAATAGTATTCCATTTCTTGGGCATGGAAAAACGACTGAATTGAGACCTAAGCCTCTTTCCAGGGCAGTGTAGGGCAATAACACTAGCTTTTATTTTTTTTTGAGATGGCTCTTTCCTGTCAGAGCGCTCCATCATGGGCCATGGTGGGTGACTCAGCTGCTCAGAACGACCCAAGGTGCTATAGGGTTATTTGTTGCTCCAGGGGATGTTAGGGTGATCCCTTTACTCTAACATGATCCTAGGACTTTTTATATTGCTGTCTGCTGTGAAGAGCATTTGAATATGTATGGGCATGGTGACCAACTAACAGTCTATTGATACAATCTGTGTTTTGGTAATTGTTTGTCATCTTCTTCCTCATCCCTAGCCTATCAAATCCACAGTGGTGTGTCTTCTGAAGGTGGGATTTATGCTGGACTGTACTTTAGTAGTTTAGTTTAGACAATCATAGTTTAGACAATCTTATTAATTTTAGGGATTGAAGGAGGAAGAAAACCCAACACAAAAAATCCTACCATAGGTTCTCAAGTCCATCCTCTTGGACTGTAAGATTGTTACCTGCTATCTTTCCCTGCCAGTGTTTTGTATGGTTCAATTTTAAATATACTTGCTGTGTAGAAATGGAGGACACTGACAGGACACTATCCAGAATTTTTTGTGATGTTGCGCATGTTCCTTCCCCCCGCCCCCGAATTATGTATGAATTGGAAGAAATGTATTTGTTGTCTACCATATACATTTTATTTGCTCACATTTCAGAGTGTGATAATCTTTATAATTTCAGAGGCCGAATTCTAGAATCTTGTTTTGACCAAATGCTTTTCACTATTAAATACTGTATGCTTCCATTGCTGAGGTAATGTGTTAATATCACTCATTATTTTGCATAATATGAGCAATGGGAAAAATAACCAAAATAAAAACCAAAATGAACTTTAAGGTAAACTAATAACTTTGTTTTGAGCATGCATTTATTGTTTACTTATGTAAACACTTATGTAAACAATTTTAATGCATGTTGTAAGAGTTTCATTGAAATGCAAACCCCCCCAATTTGACTAAACAGATTAATGAACAGTATATTAAAGCATTATCAAAAATCAAAAAGATGGAAGCACATGCTTATGTCTGAATTTGAACTCTCATATATAAATCTTTGCAGGATTTCCATAAGGCCCAGTAATACAAAAAAGTTGTACAAACATTTAGTCCTAAGCAGTTATCATGCAACAGTGTTTGACTGAGTGCAGTGTGTGGTAACGATTCCCAAAAGTCATGGGGTGTTTCCTTGCTTTCTGCTCTTTGCAAGGGTGATTTATGAGTTTACAAGTTCCTTCCCAAACTCTATAATTGCCCCGACAGTTCCCCAGATGGACTATATCCAAGTTGATATAAAACAGTACTCATTGCAGCTGGTCCTTCTAATTCATCTTGAGTTAGGTACTGGACTTCTTGTTCTTTTTGTCTTTATTTAGATTTGTTACCTCTCTAGAAACACTGTACCATGGTAATTGGTACTACCTTCCCCTCAAACACCAGATACGCCTGAAAGCAAAACAAAGTTCTATTTAGTAAGACTTAGCTGAAAGCGTTTAGTTTTATGATTGGAAACAAGGACAAATACTAAACTCGGTCTTTGCATATACTTAGCAGATCGCCTTTCCACTTGCTGAATCCATCTTCTCTAGGATTCCTGGAATGGATTCCAGCAGGTACCGCTTTGGGTCCAGGTGTCTCAGCAATGCATCTTCTCAGTCCTGCCTTTAGTTCTGATTTAGTGCTGTCAGAAACCAGAAACTTTGGTGATCATGTTTGGAAACTGTTGGTGATTCTCTGTTTTGTATCAACTGAGTGGTTCTTCCTTGCCCTGAACACAACTATTTCCTCTTTCTCCCCGGGAGTGTCAAACTGGCCAGTTACCTCCCACTCCAGCTGGACTTGTCCTCCTATACGGGATTCATACCGTCCTGCCAAGTATTACACAAGACACATACATACATTTCACAAATGATCTCTGGTATGCCGTTAGCTTTCTAGAAAGAGATGAACAGGGTATAATGTTAACACTGATGACAGACCCAGTAACACAGTTACTTTGTTTAAACAAGCCCATGAAAAAGTGTTTCCCCTCCTACAGCTTTTCTGGTGTTGCAAGCTTCCACTTGCATAATGTAAAATTCACTGGAGATTGCACAGACATAACTAAAAGAAAAAGTTGTCTCTTGCTTGTGTATACTTGCATTTTAGAGTAAAGCACATCTGTGTGGAAGATGTGCTGTTTAGCAGTTAGGTAGTCTCCTTGAAAGGATTCTAGTTATTCTTATTTGGCTCAGTTGTGCATAGATCATGTATGCTTTTATCCTGTTTTATAGATCTAATAATCTGTTTACTAGCTTTTGGGGCTTAAATGCTAGCTACAGTAAGGAAATCCGTTACAAATAATGGTTTGAGTGCAAAAAGAAACATTGAAGAGTAAAGATGAAAATTTGCCTTACACTTGGAGATCGTTAAAAGGTTTTAAAATATACACCAAAAGTTAAATTTCCTATTGTTATTAAGGCACCTAAGTGATCTGATCTTCTTAAGGCACTAATGTCCCAGCTTTTTCTTTTAAGGTCTGTAAGAACTGTAGTTTGCTCAATACATTTAAAAATAAAAGTGTTCTAATTTCAAAACTAGATGTGTAGCTTCCTGATTCAGGCACCTGTGCTAACATAAAGCTTAAACCTGCAAAGCTTGAACAGTCACCTTTTTGCCATCCTTGGACATCTCTGGACTGATATTTTACCTTAAACTTTTTTTTTTAAAGTATGCTGTGAACTTAGTGTGTAACAAGTGCTTGAGCATTAAGGATGCTGATGAGCAAAATGTTTAGGAAGAGGATATTAAAAGTTGTACTGTGATTAAAATAAATATTGAAGGACAACTTAGATCCTTGTTCCAGAAACATAGGGGTGTAAAATACTCTTGAACAAAATTTTAAAATATATAACAAATTTGGAAGCTTGTGTGAACAATTTTATTAGTGTAATTGGCAGAACTCTTATGTCAATAATCAGAAGCTATGTGATTTTTGGAAGCTTACCAACAGTGGCTTACGTGTTGATTCAGTTACTCATATTTTTTTGAGAAAGTGTGCAGTTTAAGTAAATCTCATAAAAAACCATTAATACAATGAATCTCACTTCAGTGCTTTATTAAATATATTTAAATATGCATTAAAATATTTCAGAGCCATCAAACTGAGGACACCATTGAGTGTTTAGAAAGAGATGAATGCAGTGGCTGTTAAGTTTTAATTGTCTCTAATCTCTTGCTACTATGGCAATAAAAATAAAAACTTTTTAGAGCAATATTCTATATAATGCATTATTTGCTAGGAATGTTCTTAGTCAGCAAATCCATGTAAGCTGGAACATATATTTTCTACTTTTCCATCATTTTAATATGTAAGTTGTATGCTTCTAATAATCTTTGTGTTCTTCTTATCTGCATTTAACAGCATTGAGAAATCTTTCTTAATATTATTGAAAGCTGAAATACCTTTCAATCGTCTTCTCCTTCTTCCCCCTTCTCAACAAATTTCATGAGAAAATTAAAAATTTGAAATGAATCTACTCTATCTTATTTTGCTGTGCAGTTCTAAAATATTCTGATGAGCCTGGATAAGCTGATGTGGCCTTTAGGGAGAGA